ATTCATAATGTAATATCTCTTGGATGGGCATCATTTTCTAAACTTGTAAATCGTTATATAATTAGACAAAATTTCAACATTTTGAAAATAATAATTTAAGCATTTTACGTTCGTCTGTCTTTGACATTAACAGCATCGCAACAATTTCGAAACTCGCTATGAGAAGATAGTCAGATGAGTGAATACTAATTCGATGCAACACCAGTAACAGCGTAATCTATTATTGGATTGCACGTCAAATACTATGTATGTACTTAGTTGTTTAATCGTGAGAAAGGATCATCTCTTCACCTATATGTATCGTATCTATATAAATGCATTTCTTCATATGTACTATTAAAATATATTTTAAAGACAAATCGTACGGTAATGTAACGTTAAGTAAATAAAAGTGTAAGATTTGGAATTGCTTTCTTATGATCAAATAACGTGTAAAATTGTGTTATAAATTATTGTAAGATAACGGAATAAATATATTTTATCAATGCACTTTTGTACTAATACACTTGTCAATATATATTACGATCGAATATTTGATATTTATCTAAATTAGATTTCTCTGTTCAATTACCACGGATTATTTCTACTTATTCGAGCTAGTTTATTTTCTTGGAATAACGAAAAAGAAAAATAAGATTCTTGAACGAGTGACAGAAAGATAATAATGTCCCCTGATATATGATATTGCAGTGAACGTTTGATCGAAGCAACTTTCAAAGTTACATCGTATCGATCGATATGGCGTGAATATTGAAATCTTTTTGAAAAATATTATCGATACGCACGTGTAAAAGAATCGTATTTCGTTCGAATGATTCGATGTAATTCGACATAATTTGAAGAAAATAATTACCTTGATAGCGCAGGAACTAATAAACCTCAATGACGAGAGACAATGCGATTCTAAGATATAAGTCACACTGAAATCTACTATGTATGAGTTTAACAATAATTTCTTAATCTCGATAACGTTGCATCATTATCATTTTCTTTGTGGTATTTTATCTTCCGTTGCTACGACATTCAAGGAATTGTAACGTAAACTTTGTGACAGGAATTAAAAATTAAAATATGCTGGGCTATCGATAATATTAACTAGTATTTGTACGTGTATTTATTAAATTACTTCCTGTCATTAATTTATTTCTATCATACCTGTAATATCATATCTTTTCGAATCTATTAATTACAACAGATTACAGAACGATGAAAATTGAAATAAATTCTACAATTGCACTTAATTGCAAACTGCATTATCTTTATCGATCACCGTTCTTTCAATCTTTAATCCGGTCTGTTTGCGCAATTTTAGTTGCCACATCTAGTGGACATGTAAAAGATAATAAAACCGATAACGATCATCATAATGCTATTTACACATATATGGGTCAATGTCTATGTTGAGCGACCTTAGAAAAGTATTAAAAGGAAAATCATTTTTATTAGAAGTAAAAATTAAACCCGTCTATCGCGAACATATCGATAGCAATCGCATGATTTTTTTCTCCTTGACGGATCCCATTTTTAATCGATGACTGTAGCAGAAAACAGTTGCGTACCGATTTACAATTTAGAAGCTTCAAAGTTCAGAACATCGTGGCTTATTGTTCCTCGATGATTCAAGAGAGATAATAGCGAATTTTATTACAAAGGGAAGATTTTCATCGGAAGATAAGACATTTTTCAAAATTCAAGGAACTGAATCATTTTTCATCACGCGGTTCAGAAATGTTATTACTTGGAATATCTAGTAAGTCTACAGGTGCTGGAATAATTTTTCTTTAACTTCTTAAAAACACGTAATGGGTGAAAATTGTACAAGGATGATATTAACACGCTATAGTTGAGATAGTAAGAATTCAGTTTATTAAACAGATTCATTAAACAGTATCTGTTTAAATATTGTTTGGCTATAAGAGGAAAAGGTTATAGTTGACTATAGTTTTTTGCTTCAGTCAGAAATCTACGGATTGACAGACCTTACAAATGAATCGTTTAGTAGCAGTACAATGGTATATTGATAAAGTACAACCATTGAGTAATAAACAAAGAAAATAAAACTTTCAAGGTATGGGTATAGAGATATGTCATTTCTAAATTCTACAGTATTATAGAAAGCAAATGTAATTTTTTGTAACTAAAAAATAACTTACGGACGGATTAAAATTAACTTGATACTTTCGTTGATTTACTTCTCATATCATTTTTTGTTGTTTCAATCTATCTTTAAAATACATATTTACAATCAAAGATTCACCTGTTCAAACGACACATTACAACTCGTTAATTGAACACTACAAGCGTGTAAAGGTTCTCGATGTAAAAATTTAGATATTACATAGATATTAGGTTGACAAAGACACCTATGACGACGATGTATCATTACAGGATATGTCATCCATTATTTGATCGATCATTTTATAGAACATCCTGAGATACAAAGAGGCGTATCAAGATAAAGTAGCCTCTCAAATTATTTAATAATTACTCGAATCTTGATTAATGTCGATTATAATAGCGTCTTATCCAATATCAACGTATTATCAGACTTCGTTGATATTCATCTTATACATTTGACACTTAATCGATATGCGAATTTAGTACAGAAAATCCTACGTAGCGAAACTTTGGAGACACTTTACTTTGTAAATAAATTAAAAATAAGTTGAAACGAATTGGAAACAGAAAAAAATCGGAAAGAAATTAGTAAATTGGAAACTGTTGTTTGATACAAATAATTTGCATAGAAGTATGTATTCCTATTTAAACCATTCTATCAATGGAAACTCAAAGGGAACCACTTTCTTGCCAATTATGCAACATGCAATCGAAAACATATAACATCGATCACGCAACGCACCGCGATTAAAGAGTCGAACAAGAAGCGCACCATACTTTCTAGACGATCGCTTCGATCCTCGACAAATTAGTATCTCGAAACGAGGAAAAAAAGGAGAATAATCAACGAAAGTGAGAACAGTAGGAAAGAGAGAGAGAGAGAGAGAAACAGAGAGAAAGAGAGAGAAAGAGACGGCATCGGCAACACGTCAGACCGTCCTATAAATATCTAATTTCCACCTCACGCCCTCATCGCTCTTTTGCAATACCGTTATACGTTAGCGTGTTGTCTTGCAAAATGATCAATGAAATCTCAATCACTAGTACTGATATGGAAATCATGCATTCTCATAATTAGACAGCGGAACCGTACACGACGGCTGACACGAATAACTTGTTCCTTTATTTTCCTACATTTAGTAATTATTAACATTACTATTAAATTATATTTATCAATTTAGAAACTTGTACATTAAATTGTTTATTACATTGCACATTAAATTGTATAAATACATTAAATTTATAGAAATAGTACAATACAAATTGCTGCTTAGTTATAAATAGATTATGAATATTTATACAAATTAATACCTTGCTAAGTACAATCGAGAAAATGGAATTTAAACAAAGATTTTTCCCAATTACCCAATACTGTACATATAACATTCTATGTTATGTATATTTGCATATCTTATGTATTTTGTGTACTATGACACTTTTAAATTTCCCATAAGTGGTAAAAAATTCGCGTACTTAATAAAATTACAATATTTTCGCGGAATATTTTTCGTTCTGTCTCGATGATCAGAAACTTTGCCGCGTTTTCTAATGCGATGACAAACGAGACGCGCGACACTTGTCACATTTATCACAATTTCGTGACAAGTGACTAGGAATTGGTATTAGTTGCCTAATTACAATGACAAGATCGATCGTCTGCTAAAATTTAAGTCTCATTTCTCTGCTGAAATTGAAATTCGACTCGATTCGATTGAAACTCGAACTTCCGACAAGCCGCAAATTTGCAAATCAGGTGTTACATGCTAAATGGTTAGTGGAGAAACCACATATTTCCTAGGAAGGAATTTTTGTTACCCAGAAATAACCTCTCCTATCATTTTTTTATGAAATTCTACGCTACAAAAATTTGAAAATTTTTAAGTGACATTTGCATATTTAAAGTTTAAACTCATACGTAATGAAAATATTTAATCTGACAAAATTTAATGGCAGGGGTAAATATCGACAGAGGTTCGTAACAAATATTGTACGAATAATCATAACACAATAATTAACAAACAAACAGAATTACAAATCTGTTACCACGAAGCTAACGTTAAACGTTAAATACAACTGATATGATAATAAATAAATTCATAATTCATATTATGGATATTTCATAGGAAATCATCATTCTGTGTCTCTTTAGTAAAGGCAACGATTAATTAATGCCATCAAACCAGTGGATTGATGGAAGAAGCGAAAGAGTTATAAAACTATGTAAAACTATAAATAGGTAGTATTATAGAAATGGAAGAAAAGATGAAAGAGAATTTAGATGTATATTCATAGATGAACCATACGTCTTCCATGAAAAGACTTTAAACAAACGAAACGTAATTTGATGTAACCCGACGAAATAGATGTAAGTCGACACTGCAGATGACAAGCATTTCCATAATTTATCCGGTTCGTCAGAGTTCATCGCCTTCTACCAATGACCATAAAGCGTCAAACGCATTGCCAAGTGGTTCGGTAATCCCGTGATTCCAAGTAAAACAGCTGTCATCGGTTGGCAAGACGGTCGGAAGCGATCTGATCATTCACGAAATTACGAAACCTCATGGCTTCGATGTACAATAGAAAGTCAACAGTCGCGCCAGAGAAACGTTCCCCAGAAAGAAAGAAACGGGTCACGTACTGGCCACGGGACCACGATTTCGAACCGATTGGAATTCGCCTGGTCCCGCGCGTTCGATGGAAGCAAAACTCAACCGCATAAGCGATACAACAAAAAGAAATACGACGATAAAAATAAAAATAATGATATTCGCGCATCGAAGATCACGTTGTACCGCGCGATTCGTCTCGAGAACACGGCGATACCGCACTTTCTCCGCGTCGCATCGTCGATGAAAACACAAGCACAGAACACCACGTACCTGCTAGACGAAAGTGAAATCTCCTCTTACAGTCGAAACAGAAACCGATCAGACCGATTCGTCCAACGGGATCAGCGGAGCAAAGCCGTCAGCCGATCGTCAACGATGCTTTTGACAGGCTCTTTAACTTCCTGGCGAACAACAAAATCCCTCGTTTCCTCTTGATCGTATAAAGACACTATTTCTACCAAGTAAATACACCATTCACCATCCAGAAGACATGTCGACTGTTGGGTCGATCACCGATCACCGGCCACGGAACCACGGGATTTTCGTGTGCATCCGCGCAGATTGAGAGAACGGTTGTCCGTTGAACACGATCGTTCGAAGGCGGTCGACGACCAAGGATCTTCGTAATCGCCCAGGTGAAAGCCGTTTAGGTGAGCGGCGAGCGAGCGACTGGCTTAGCCACGATCTACCAGAGGTACCAGAAGCGATTCAGAATCCCCCCTTGCTTGCCTCTCTTCGCTATAACTTTCACGGCATACACGAGGCTAGAGAGCGAGTCTCTCTTTCTCTCTTTCCTTCCTCTCACGATTTTTCAAAGCCTCCTCTCCATCGCCCCTTCTTCGTCTCGCAAATCCCAGACCCGCTGCCCCTTCGACGATTTTTTATGTCAAACCCGGTTGACCGATGCTTGGGGACACGTGTAACAACGGGCAATCTATCGCTTGGAATTCAGGCTCATTGCGAAATTTCATGATACCAAGAAATATATCGAAGATACCGAAGAACCGGAAAAGAATCTTCTTCTTGCTGATTACAATATTTTTAAATTTTTGCTAAGTACGATCGGAAGTTATGACGCTAGGTGATTCGATCCAGGATTTGATAGTTTATCAGGACAGTACTTTTGCTTCTCACCTTGGCTCGGTTGTTCTATAAAGAGTTAGAAACACATGGTGTCGAGGTTCGTGTCATGAGAACGTTCTTGCGAAATTGCGACTATGACGTTCGAGAAACGCGTTCATATAGAATAACGAAATGACTGAAACGATTCGAATAGCCGATCCGATTGCTCTATCAACGTCCTTGGGCTTACGTCACTCACTATCATCGCCTGAAGACGTTATCGTTATCAGATATTTGATCGATCTCTGATATCTTTATCCGTTCTAGTATGCTCGAATTGATTAATTTAGTTCCAACTAACGATAGAAAATTTCTAATTTATGTTAACAAAGAAAGATAGAAATTTGAAAAAGTGGCTCTTCCGAGCCAATTATTTGATAAGGAAATGCCCTGTAAACCGATTGAGATACGTCGCTTTTACGATGAATTTTTCTTTAACAGTTCCATCGAACGTTTAGCAATAATCTCGATGAATTTGCATATTGCGATATCAGTTACGGCCGCGTAATTAATTGTGCGTGCAACGAACGCGTCCGCTTAAATTGCACTCGACCCGAACTAAACACCTTCGCTGTTTCCGAGCGTTGCATTTATCCAGAAGGTCGTATTTGGACATCTTGCGAAGATTCGCGGATATCCGTTCTGTCAGGATAGATGGCTTGATCGAAGATATTTAAGAAAACGATATAATATAGTCAGCGAATAGTCTTTCCTGACTTGGAACTTTTAATTTTCAATATTAATTATGTATATTGCCTGTTTGTTTGTTTCCTTTAAATTATACGAAGATGTCATAAGTATAGTGTCGAGCGCGAGATTGATTACAATGATGAGAACCGAGGATACTGTTTATTGTGGAAAGGCGCGCTTCATTCACTTGCAGCTCTCATTAACGACTTTTTAATAACTCTTCGTGTTTATTTATCGTAGACGTAAAATTATTTCCCTTTCAGTTGGCGTAAATTCAACGAACTTTACAGATACTAAAAGAATAGAAAGATGAATATACAGGAAAATGCCTCTTCGTATTTATATTTCTAATTGTTACACACATTTTAAACGATTAATCGCAAGATAGAAGGGATAATTTAAACGTGTACTGAATACATCCGTGGCGTGACGCACGTTCTACGAGGCATCGATGTCTCCAACATTTTGAAAAAGATCACAGTATGCGATTGAGATGAACGTTAAATTCTAATTTTCATCCCCAAAAATAATCTTTCGTACTAATTCTACAAATATAATAACGCTTTTAATTTTACCAAACACTGCCAAATTCAAATACATAAATGCGCACCGAATAAATTATCGAAAGATAGTTTGAATTTAATATGAAACGATATGTGCGTAAATATAAATACCTAATAGAGAAAAAATATGATAATTAACATAGATTTATGAAATTTCGATAATAAAGCTAAAATTTCCTACTTAAATAAAGAAATAAACAGATTATTAGTTGATTTAGAAAGTATATGTACAATGTTAAAACAATATTGTAAATTATCGCAGCAAAGATCACAAAAATCAAAGTTCTCCAACATGGAGTTGCGATGATATCCTCTGTGCAACTGCAGCTTTATTATGTCAACATCTACCAACAGATGGCAGAACATTATCGATATGACGGTAGTTCAGTAAGTAAACAGTGAGTAAGTAAGTACACATAAATGTTTTGTTTCGTTATCTCTCACTGCTTCATACTTCCATTCTTTTTAAAGTAGCTATTCAATTCATAATTTACATCAGAATTCGTATTTTATACGATTCCTTGTCATATCTTTTTATTTAATATCATTACGTCATCCTATTTTCTCGGTATCTATCATAGCCACTTTCGAATTTTGAGCATTTCTTTTATTTCAATTGAATTAATTTCAATTTACTTTTTCTAGTATTAAAAGTTACTATTGATAATCGTCTGTTAGTATCTTTGGTCAATGTAAAATATTATTCATTCAGTTTCGTTGTATCAACGTATCTTCGATATTCCGTGTCTCATGGATTCAATTTTTCCCAGAATAAAGATTTTCGAATCACGTTGGAAATTTGAAAAATAAAATTGCCAACGATATGGATCAAAATTTTAAAGGAACGTTTAATCATCCGAATCAACAAATTTTCTAATTTCGTACATATATATTTACTCTGCATATGTTATTTCGATATTTAATAATAAAATACTTGTTTCACAATGCTCGATAAAGCATGAAACGATGTAAAAATAAAAAGAAACAAAAATATGTTTCGATTACTAAAAGTTCTAACGAAAAATATATATTTGGGTTTATAACAGCCAGTAATTTTTCCTGTCCTCTATCTCAAAATGAAACTCTCAACGTTTTATTTGTGATGACTAAGAAGGAAGGAAATGAAACGAAAGGAAACCCAGGTACCTACAGTAAACTATACAAATATTATAATATCAGTAAATTGTAAACGAAAGTATCTTAGGAAAGATACGAGAAAATCGAAGGGGTGATAAAGAGAACGGAAAATACGATGCGATAACTTGGGCATTGGGATCAGCTATTTCTTTCTGATTTGATGATTCATTCTTAAAATAACATGAAAACATCGAAAACTTATACACGAATTTTCTTGATACTTATTCCTAAGGATACGATAACTGCAACCACCGTGTGCTTTTATTACAGGGAAAACAGATATAAAGGCCATTATTCCCATTGTTGGCCTGTTATCTTTTCTATGCGAGTCGAGTAGGAGAGGCGACCAAAGAGCAAAATGGACTAACGTCTTCATGATGTGATGCATTACGAGTACGAAAAATTTCTAATTTCTAATATAAAATATAATATAATATTAAAGAAACAAAAATAAATATTCTTTCTCTTTTTATAATTAAACTGAGAATATTCATGTATTTGTGAGAAATTTAGAATAAATTTTAAGGAAATTTGGTATATCTTTATACGATCGACGTCGATATCAGTTTTTGTTATGGTGGTTAGGTTAGGTCTAGGTTGGGGTTAGGTAATCGGTTTTGAGATAAAACTGGTTAGGAAATGTAATCGCTAAGGGATTTGTTCGATCTACGAGGTTCTTGACACCCTAACATTTAATAAACTGTGTAATTTGTATAAATAGTCGTTCCTATACGATGCGAATAACAAATATCATTTTACGTATCAGTAGAATAATAATTGGTCCAACGATACGTATAATTCTTTTGTTTTTCGAGTAAATCTTTTGTAGCTATTAATAAGTCAAATTATCGATAGGCGCAATTTCGCAAATCACCATGATTTGCTTGCTTTTTTGCTTTTATCGTTTAATATAAATATTCGCCGTCCTGCATATAAATGCAAAGAGAGTTTCGTTATGAACTTCCAAGTTTCATGGCTACTTATAGTAAAGTGGTTTAATTATTGAAAGCATAAGAGTTTCTGTATCAAATCTTAAGTTAATTAATGCTTGCAAATTGAAGATTTTTTGTTACGTGTATTAAATTCCGTAAATAATAATAGAATGAGACTGACACTGTAAGTGAAATTATATAATTTGACCTTATTTCCATATTTTGAAATTAAAATACGTAGATACACGTCAAAACATAACATTCAATATGATAAAAGTGACCCTAACGCGAAATTGTATATGATATTTATAAACACTCACAGACTTATCGTATGATCTTTAGCCTAACCCAAAACTGTGCTAAATCTATTAATCAATCTTATCAAAAATTCTACCAAATACAATTCGTTCTGGATAATTAAAAAATGAAATTTGCTTACAGTCGTAATTAATAATTGACGTTATTCGTCAATAATTCTGCAATCATACAATCTGTTTGTTGGTTAGCTTAAATCGCGTAAATAAGTTGTTGCAATTATATCGAATTACTAATAACACGGAGTTAAATACTTTATTTTAGACAATTTTCATTCTTCTTAGAAAATCAGTTTAAAGATTTCTCTTTATGGTAACAAGAATATTTTATTTGATATCTTACTAACGTTTCTCGAGTTTCGCGGAAGAACAACTTTCCCCTCGTAAAATATAAACGGGAAACAGTAAGACGAATTTATTCTTCGGTATAAAGTTAAAGCAACGATTACTTCGAATTAGATTAACTTTAACATTTAACATTTACAATAAAAAAACATAGATTATAGAATCTAGGATAAAAATTCAAACTGTAGAGTACAGAATGTAAGATCTAGAAAAGATAATTAACGAACAAATTTTCTTCTAAAACAACGAATAAAGAATTGAAATAAAAATCGAAAAAGATCTTATTGTAGCAAGAACGCACCTAATTCCTATTATTTCGTTCCTAGAAACAGACTTGCGAAAACAAGCACCGAGTCGTGAAACTATCCTAAGAAGCAATAAAATTTCTCGGGTATGCACAACGTGCAACGAGTTCCGAATATTTTTCAGCCTGTAATTTACACTGCGTATTGTCCGTATCTCTTGGTTCGGCGTTGTTTCGCGCTGTGAACGCGACAGATTCAGTAAACGTCCAGGCAAGCCGCAAACCGCTATTGCAATTACTTAATCAGAAGAGACGAGGACATAGAAACGAGTGACGAGTGCGCGTGTACTCGACGAAGAATGAAAGGACGATATCGACGCCTAGACGAAAGAAACGCGGGTGATTCTACTGCCACGCGATCAGCTGAAAAATTCGATAATCGTTGGTACGGTCGCCTGTATTCTTGTACGTTCTATATGCTTGTGCTCTTCCCGATCCGGCCGATGAATCAGTAGCGGTTTGCGCCTCGTATAGTGTAAACGCTTCCCTAACTTCTAACGTCGTTCAGTCGATTCGTTTTCGAACCTTTTCAGTCGTGAAAATCGGCTAAGTCGGTGATCGGTTAAAGAGACCAAATTGAATGGGATCGAATTATCACAGTGCTCGAACTGATTTTATATCGTCGACGTTTCCGAAACGATTTCTTTTTCTATCATCGACATCTCGAAATCGATCTGTTTTTTAAACATCATCGCCGTTGAAGTGGCCATTAGGTATATTAGCTGTTCGGATCGTCGTATGTGTTTTTGAATCAACTCGTCTTCGAAGCTCTACGAACAATAAATTAATTCGCAACATCAAGCAAAATACTATTTCCTTCGGATCGAGTGCCTACGATTTCAGTAATATTCACTTGGTTGGTCCACAGGTTTGTCACAATTTAGCGATATCTGTACAGATCTCGGGATACTTGGCGCAGATTATTCCAATATTTCCGGGGTGAATTGCCAACCGTATGGCATTTTTGTGAAACCTGACCGGTATCGAGGTCCTCCGAGGTTCATTGAATATAAAATAATGAATCGTTGAATCGCAGATAAGGGAAAACGAATAACGAACTATGATGGAACACATTACCAGTAATAATATCAGTGAGAATACCAGTGAGACGCAGGAGGATCCGAAGACACAAAGTACGTACTGAATTGATTTTATAGCGATATTGACATTATTACCTTTAAAGAGGAGATTGTACTCGATACAGATACATACTTTTCGAAAATTTCTTTAAAACAACAGGCAAATAATTGCAATTGACAGATGAGAGTACGATTAAAGCGAAGTTTTGAATATCTTGCAAGCATTGTATGTTTTTATTACTTTATTGCAGACATGGAGTCCACCAAATTCAAGCAACGTGCAGTGCGTGATATAATTATCAATGAAGTGCAAGGACAAATGCAGGTGTGAAAAATCAAACTGTAATTTATAATAATTCGCGTATAGTATAATCGATTTATATTAATTCATCCGAATGTTGTCTTCTTAATAGAATCCAATAAAATTCGAGAACAGATGGTAACGCCAGATGTTCGTATCTTGCTAATTCACAAACTTGTTTAATTTTAATAGAGGAATCTAATAAATATAATTAATTCTTTGTTTAAGTAATTGATCAAACACATACACGATCGATCTAATTAATTTTTTGAACTATTGTAAAATATAGGAAATTGTAAATTTGCGTATGTTCATTACCACTGATTCGTTTGATTCGATTAAGTGAAATTAATTAATAATGAAAGCGTACAATTACACGATGATTGTAAAAGCACTAAAGGATAAATTGGAAACGTTATTATACGGGCGCATTGATCGATTACTGGACGCTATGGGCTTGTTAAAAGTTAAAATTGACTTTATAAAATAAACTTGTTAAAGGCGGTAATAAAATATAATTATCTTTTTTTTTACAGGAAATTAGGCAAGACATTTTGGAGATCATTAACAGCCAAATGAACGATATGATATCGGAAATAATGAGCAGATTCAATTCAACGGAGTTGAAAGATCTAACGGAGTCCGAGAAATACTCTAACAGAACGTAATTGCATAATCACACTTAAACCTTGATATTACACTCTTCTATGCTCACATTACTTTCGACTTACACTATTGCATTCGCTGCTGATTTTATACATATATGCGACTTTTCCTTATGCTTCACTTCCATCCTTCAGGAGCAACTATTCGATATCAATTATTTTTTAAATTGACAAATTATTTTGCTCCTGTGCATTATCGCAAGTTAATTAAATCGATTGCTTCGCTGTATTTAATCAAAATTAAGAAAAGGTCAAATATTTTTTCGAAAAAAAATTCTTGAACGTAGAAAAAAGGAATTTAACCCCTTGAAGTCAAAAGATTCATTTCATATCCGTTTCTTTAGATTCGGAACGAAAATTTCAATTTCATATTTCGTTTAAATTGCATCCAAAATTATTTATTTGTCCATGGTTCATACGAGTACAACACTATGGTAGCCAACTGACAATGGCAAAGAAAGGAGAACAATTTTTCTCTTGGAAGATATAGGTGGCAATTTTCGAGTAAATAATTCACACCAACGTTTAACTGTGAAACAAAGATTTGACCACGCGTTTGACTGCTTTGACCTGATTCGACAAACTTTAGTATATTCTATTGTTTGTACACAACATATGTATATGTACAACGTTCAAAAACTAATAACAATAGTAAAATTATAAAGAATAATATTGCGGTCAGAAAGCTAAAAACGAAGCTACATTATATTAGAGAGAAGAAAGAAAAGAATTGTACACTGTGTTTGTAAAGATTAATAAGCAAAGGAACCAATACATGAACGATAAAATGACATTCTTTCGTGCTATCATAATTTTGTATACGTGCTATAAAAACATGATAAAAGTATAAAGCAAGATACATTGAACTTAAGTACATACATATCCAAAGCTGTTTTCGCGAATTAGATAATTTCGCAATTTCAGTCCATTTCTTTTCTTTTTTTTTCATGATCCACGTTAAAAAAAAAATTTAATTTATCAATTGATACCAATTGATATTTTAATTTGTTAAATACTGATCGTTTCATTGTCATTTTACTATAGGAAACCAACAAAGGAGAACATGTTACCTACCAAACAATTTCTCCAAAGAAATTCTCTATTGACCGACCTGTACGAGATTAAACATATTCGTACCCTTTATAATGCCATCGTAGCAATGTTGATAATTCTCTTAATACACACCGCTGCGTACGATATCCGCCACATAGGCTCGTAAGTACACGCGTACTCCTTGCACTCATTTATCTTAATATTTCTTTACCAAAAAGAATCAACACTCGAGAAAATATTTACTCTAATCGATCGTTATGTAAAATCGAGCTCGATGTAAACAGTAAAAATCGTCGTATTGGAAGTAATAGAAAGAGAAATCTTCAAATTGAAATTGATACTATTAGAATCTTTGAATTTTTGTGTCTCAATTTCACTTTTCTTTCGATGAGGCAAAAAATACTTTGACGTTTTAGATAAAACTTTGCCATAAGATTGAAATAAGAAGTGAGACGTATCGAATTATCTATCGTGTTTTCCACAACTTTAAGCAATTTCTTAGTAACGATAGAAAAATACGATTAGATGATAAGTGACCCAAGAAACATAACAGAGTTACGACGAAGTATCTTAATAAAATAAAATGTATTTGAGAATAATAAGATAGAAAAGTACTATGGAATATAATACATGCAAAAATCTTCGATCGTCTACATAATTTATTCTTTCAGGCCTAATCTCGGCATCGACACAGTGCGAGCTGGTTTTGCCAAATTTCCAATAGTACTGCTCATTTGGACCCTTATGAAGTTATCGGTTCTAGGAGTATACCCTACTTTCTGTTGTTGGGCCACTCGTCGCCTCAAATACGAGCCAAATTGTAAGTTAATTTCGATTCAGTTATCTTCAGATTTTAATCAACTTCGAGCTACTGATGCTTACAAATTTTTTTTGCAGCTTTCGCCAAAAAAGTTTGGGACTACGTATGGCTAGCAAGCATCATCCTATATCTGACTTTCTTATTTATACTTCCTACCAAAGCTTTACTTGACAACGATTTGCCCTTTGCATCTAGTACGATCATTCTCATGGAGCAAGTAAGTATATTTTATAGCAATTGTCATTGACTAATCAAATCATGCGAGGTTAAATCGTTTTCCCGAAATCTTATTTAATTACGAATGAATAATTTCTATCGATAGTGGAAAGAAAATATCATGCAATTATTTACTAACATTTGGCTAATTTATTTTTTTGTAAAATTTATGTAAGGAATATATTCCTATACTTATAATTTCTGAAGAAAAATCTTTTTACAATTGAGAATTGAGAATAGGTATTTGTAATGTAAATTAGTCATAAATTAATACTCGTTAAATTACATCGTAAAATTGCAAGATAAAAATATACCTTCTTATGCATTTCATAGGTCCGGTTAGTCATGAAGATTCATGCATTCATAAGAAGTGTCGCACCAAAATTTTTGTCCTTTAAACCTCATTCAGATACACCAACACCACAGCCACCTGATTTTTCCAAGTATCTCTATTTCTTGTTCGCGCCAACTCTCATTTACCAAGACAGATATCCTAGGTAAGTCGAAAACTTAGGATTATACTTAAATTCAATGATTATCGTTATACGTTGTTATACGTGAGCTGAAATTTAACGTTCTCCAAAATATCTAGAATATTTTCTTCTCTTTCTATAACAATACAATTTACGTATATTGAATCAAAGTATTCCTTAAATCTATCATCCTGCCGTGTCAAAATCGAAATTCAAGAAACGACACGAGCAAATATTACGCCTTAAGATATGAAAAAGCTTTTCAAAATGTATTATTATGTCTTTAAAAATGACTATCTGCGTCGCTGAATGATCTTTTCCAGTTTAAATGGAGATTTCGAGCACTTGATAATTATTCTATCAAAAGAACAATGTTTTGATTCTTCTTATCCCTCTACAAGAGATAAAAATTGCAAATATCGAAAGATACGATCAAAAATTTGGATACGCTCGAAAATAAACTTTTCTATAAATATATTTCAATCTTAGATTTTGTACTTTGTTAAGAAATGGAAGAATCGTGCGAGAAACAAATTTTGAATATCAAAAGTACACACTCCAATCTTAAATTTCAATCTCATGTATAAATAAGACAAGTACGTCTAGAAGAAGATCGACATATTATTTGAAATAAACATTTACATGTAACATATGAAATATTCCACTGTTTAGGTTGAAGCGCATTCGATGGAACATCGTTCTGTCCAATTTCGTTGAAGTAATAACGATCATCATTTTCGTTGCGCTTCTCTACGAGCGATTGTTGTATCCAAACTATCGGGATTTTGGGAAACATCCAGTCGAGGTGGGAAAAGTGATGGTGAATATTCTCAGCTCGATGCTGCCTGGCATTTTAATGTTCGTTTGCGGTTTTTATCTTCTCCTGCATTGTTGGATGAATGCTACCGCTGAACTGTTACGATTCGCAGACAAGATGTTTTATAAAGTAAGTTTCTAAACATCTTCGACGTCACGCTCAATAAAAGATTATCTCAGCGCATGACACATACATCCTGGAAACCAATGAACAGTCAGCAAAAAAAAAAAAAGAAAAAAAGAAAAATATCATCACAGCCTCCAAATTCCATTCACAAAACCACACAATATACTCTAAATGCTTCTGGCATCTCGAATTTCCTAACAGCCTACCTGAGTCATCGAGATCGTTGCATCAAATCTATCGTGTTCATGTGGATGCTTCGTCATCGTTCTTTCCAATCTATCTACTCCTTCCGATCTATCGCAACTTTCTTATGGGACGTTCATCGATTCTTGGATTCTCTCTTTATAGATTATTTATACACGCATAACGCAATGACAAAATACCAGTAAATTTATGTTATACCATTTCAATTGCAGGATTGGTGGAACTCGATCTGCTTCAGCACTTATTATCGAACCTGGAACATCGTGGTACACGATTGGTTATACACTTACATTTACAAGGACATGTACGAGATCCTGACTCCTGGAAACAGGACTATATCTACTTGTGCGGTCTTCGCTATCTCGGCGATCATTCACGAATACATCCTTAGCTTCACCACCCATTTCTTTTATCCAGTTATGTTGATTCTTTTCGGTGTTATTGGCCTTACGGTCGTGTTTGTATTGAAGACTGCTGGAAACGTCTTCCTATGGTTCAGCTTGAGCGTAGGTAATGGAGTAATGGTTAGCTTATACTGCATGGAGTATTTCGCCAGGATCAATTGTCCTCCGGTTCGAGACGATTTCTGGGACGTTTTCATCCCCAGAAGTTGGACGTGTATTTTTAAGTGAGCAAATGTTTTAAGTTTTATTCGAATAGACACTCTGAATATGTTGTGAAAGTGTTTGTGTAAGGATGTTTGCCAGTGGTTATTGAATTCTAGATATACTTGAAGAACGGTATAACAGAAGCAGTATAAATTAGTATAGACAAATCGTGAATTATCTGAAGCAGAAGAAATTAAACACAAAGCATTGCGTAAAGCTATATTAATATATATATATATATACATATATACATCTAAGATGTTGTATCTTATGAATTATAAAATACCATCTCTTCAATTTTAGAGAGATGACCCAGGAATAAAAGCCAGGGAATTGAAACTAAGAAAGGAATCATAATCTTTTAATTAAAAAAATAAAAATAATAATGTTTGAATGGTAATGTTTGTATGCTAGGTATCAATGTGTAGATGTATGATGTAATGCTCCCATCCATAAGCTTTCGAGCATTTACACATTTGCGGATTTCGCATAGATTTCTATTTCTTTTACAGATTTATTGCGTTATCCTAAAATCTTGATGTTATTTCTAGGCGATATTGAATAATATTTATTAACATATGGTATCGATAAAATTATTATAAACATAGCTAAAAGAAGACATACATACACGGTTAACGTGAAATTATCGAGATGATAAAAGAAAGTTTCACACAAGTTTCTCTTCCGTCTGTTTCTTCACGATGCGATCTATTTGATATGTTTATTTCTTGTGAAATTCGGTATTTCTATATCTTCAGATATCTTTAGATGGTATCAACCATTTTATATTAATTTATCAATTAATTTTTAATAGAATTTAGTTGTTAACAGATACTATTTATACTATCTAAGAATAATATCATAATTACAGTAACATGATTATTGTAACATGATAGATTCGTTAAATTGTCCTTTGTAAAATTTTCATGCGAAATCTGCAAACACGTAATACTTATGAATTTTATTATAAGTCCAAATAGTTATGGACAGAGGTGTATACGTAAATGCATAAAGCAATGAAATAAACGACTTATTTGTTTTCTCATGTTATATTTACTCTTTTCTCCTTCCCCTTTCCTCTTTTTTTTTTTTCTTTAGCAACTTCTGATAGAACCAAAGTTGAAGAAACGCGCGAATTTCCAAAAAAGACATAGTCTTTATTATCAAGGCTTACATACGTGTCCCGAGAATTCAACGTGTATTCGAAGACACTCGTCGATAAAGATAATTATTTATATATATATATATATATACTTTATAATTATATGTATATATCTTCTTTTTCTCTATGCAGGTCGATGCTTAAATGTACATGCACGCGCTAATACAATTATATTTATACAGAGGCTCCTTCACAGATTTGTATTTCCGTTTTCTTCTCTTTCAACAATTCAACTAAACTTAAACTCCTTAAAGAAAACTCTACAAAAACCAGTTATTCATATTCACAACAACGATTACTATCAATACCAGAACATAAGTACATGTATCCATAATCCGATGAATCAAATTCGAAACATTCACAGTTTCTCGCTTAAAGGTACACGTCCTTCTGGAAATAGGACGATCCAGAAATCGTCTGAAACCACAGGACTATCGATCCTGACGAAATATTCCATACAGCATAAACTAACCGGCACTGCATTACCGATACTCATTCTGAACCAGAGGAACATATTTCACGCACGTGTATCATAGAGAAATAAACATATTCCATATGTACATTCCATAAAATTCTTCCAAGTTTCACGCGACGTTTTCACGGTACGTTAAATTACATCTGAAATTTTACAGTCGTAACATCTTCAATTTTCTAACAGAAAATTCGTTCGCTTTCAAGGAAAGCGAAAACGTTGCAGTTCTTAAACCGAAAGAACTTTAATAACAAGTGTTGCGAAATGAAATTAGGTTTAACACTTTGGTGGAAGATTGAAGAAACGGGTGATAAAAGATTTCAAACTTTCAAAATTGAACTTATATCGCTTGCATTCTTACTCCTCTTTTTTCTTCTTCACAGCTGATGCACAATTTGGTAAGTTTTGCCAGGATATATTTCATTCGGAATATCTCGGAGAAGAGGGATAAATAATAAAAACAAAATTGCATTATTTGTACCTGTGTTCAAATAAATAATTATAGAAATAATCAAATGGTCGCTAACTGAGCATCTTTCACATTCTCATATCTTTCTTCCTTTCGTTCACGTTGAATTAATTAAATTCAATATTTATCAGTTATCGCATTTGTATATTTTTTATTTTATTACAGCACCGTTTACACGGCACAAACGCCTTCTAGGTCTATGTACACCATCGTGAGTATTGAAAAAATAAACCATATTTTTCCCTCGGGAGCACCGGACAATTTCCTCTTCAAGAATTTCTTTATTCCTCTCATCTTATCTTCTTCTTTTTTTTTCTTTTATCCATCGGAGCAAAGTATTGTCTACGGTACGGTACTCCCGCTCGAAAATACAATTTTCATCAAATTTACACATGGAAAATGATCTGTACGTCGTTATTTTAATTCACTTCTAATCTTCTCTCTCTTACTCTCGCTTTTTCTCTAATATCTCTTAATTATCCGCAACAGACATATAACTCGCTTACTTTATTCATATAACTTCTGTGTCTGTTCTCTTGTTTTAATCTTTGGTTCAAACATCGAATAAATGCAACACAGATTGATACATCTGACGTTTATTCAATCTTTAAACCGAAACATTTTTGCCTAATTTGTACAAAGACAACGTCATTTTCTTAAGATCAGAATTTCAATCCTTTGAAAAACACAATATCCTGAAAAATAATATTAATTATTAGCTAAATTTAAGTGAAACAAATCTGACGATTTGGAAATTAAATAAAAATTAGTTTATTTGGAAACATTAATTTCGTGAGATAATCAATTCCATATTGAAACGAAGATAGTAGGAAGCATCAAAGCACAAAGGATTAAAACTCCATCCTCAAAAATTGTCGTTCTTCCTTTCTTCTTTTTTACCTCTACTTGGCACTTGGTACCTACTATCTCTTCCCTTCCGTTTATTTCTTCGATTCACAATTTTCCACCACGCAGCTGAAACACTGAGGACACTTGAAAAATATTCTAATCAAAACGTATTGATTCCAATAAGATTCCGTAAAAATTTTGTAAACTCGTTTACAGAAAATTGTTTACAAGCTCAATTTTCATCATCGCGACGTGTCCTTCGATGCTTCGTGACTTTCTTTCGTCAGAAACCCATTCGTTCTGAAATATCTTTATTTTTTTTTGTGAAAACGAAACATCGTGTTAAACGAAACTATGCGATTAATTCTCGTTGTCGATACAAAGTTTTATCGTTAATACGTGACAAAGATCATTTTTCGTTAACAAACGTTGATTTATTTTTCTTTTCTTCTCTGTCTCTTTTTTCTTCTTCATAAATATTCATACAATTTGTCAAACGAGAATTGCTTGAACTGTGGAAACAACTTTTGCAATATCGAAGCACTGACTTTTCTTCGTTGTAAACTGCCGAAGGACACCGTTACGAGGAAGGACAATTGAAGCAAGTACAAGAACAGGAAGGTAAAGATAAAGGACTCGATAAATTGGCTATATAATCTACCTTTCTCACGGCTCCTCGTCGAACAAAATTTCTCCGTATCCATGATATTTTCAAAATAGTGTATTCCATATAACTTGAGAAATTTCTGATGAAAAACGGGCAAAATTTATGTCCATAACAACATAGTATTTGATATAATCAATCATTCTTCCCTTTCTTCAAATATCTCCATAATTTCAAATATAAATAAATTTTCCATAAAATTATTATTATCTTTGAAACGTTTATATTTTGTGACTAGTAAAAATTCCAGATATATGAAATACGCCAATCGAGAAATATCCTGTCAATATATTTAATACCATATGCCCATTCTACGGTGCCCTTATAAATATTGTCCAACATGGATTTCTATCGAAAATAACTCGTTATGTCCTTGTCTATATTATTCCTCGTATGTCGCAATCATTTAGTACAGCGTTCACTCTTTTTCACACACGCTATCTTTCTCTCTCTTAGAAATCTATAAACAATTGTTTTATTGCTAGCCTAGAGTCAATCACGGCATATGAATTTTATTTATAATAATAAATCACTTTGATATACACGCTGGTTAAATCTTCGTTTCTATATCTGTAAAGTATCTTTACAAAGGGACCGCTTGTTTTTCTCTTTCTCCCAATTTCTCTTTTTCATTTCTCCATCTTCTTTTTTTTCTGTATGCTTTCTTTTATATAGTTATATTATATATATATTTATATATATATATATATGTACATATGGATAAGAAAATTGAACTTGCTCGAGATTCGCATACGGGGACGTAAACTATATTTATATTCGGCAGGACATTTCAGGAGAAGTGAAAATTCTCTGCTATATACAGGGTGTCCCCTTCTGACATTTATCAATTATTTAACCTTTGAGAAACATAAGTAATGCGCTCGTCTGAGAATTCTTAACGCATAACTCGTAGGAAGATATATTTTCGAACATACAAATTCTTCTAACATTCGTAAGATCTGAGATAATATTTCTATAATTTACAAAACGTACATAATTTGAGCGAAAATGTTTGTGTAAATGAATATTAATTTACAAAGATATTTGTCTAGTTAAAGAAAACAAAATATGGTAAAAAAAGATATTTCCTTTTACACGTACTCAATTCTGGAATTGATAACAGGCTCGATCAAATCAAATTGTTCTTCAATCTCTCGTAGCCTACAGATTAGATAAAATTAATTATTTAAAAGATTTAAATAATCTAAGATCCGAACGATGTGCTTTGTTCACATCTAATTCTTAAAACAGCATGTTTTCTTTATTGTGATTAGCCAGTTTCATAAATTTATTTGGATATCATCAGGAAAGTGTAAGAACCGTAACTGTAGATTGGGCAGGATCGATCAATACTAATAATTAGTACGAAACGATGTTGAATACTAAATTTTTAAAATACAATAATCTTTCATATCTTTGTAAATAACATGCAGTAATAAACACTCAAATACAAACGCATACATTTTCGCTTAAAATCGTGAAAGATAAGATTGAACAAAAACTACCAAACATATAAAACAATTATATTTCCATGGCATTTGAAGACTACACAAGAAAGATATGACTTTACTTTTATTGATTTCCTGATTTTTTTATCAGTCGATAACTAAAAAGAAATTTTTTGATATGGACGAACTAAAAAAGGGCGTAATCTGATAGATTCGAAAAGATATAAACTCTATGTTAATTTAATTTAATTAATAATAGTCTATACTAACTAACTAACTAACGTTATTAATACTTTTATACACTCAAGATGGTGAGAAATCCATATACTTAATCTCAAAATCAAATGCACAAAGATAGCTTTGATGTAGAATTAGATGTCAAGAAATTGAATTTCAAAATTGCTCCTCTATAAAAAAAACGAGAAATATCTTACCATATTTTTCGCCTGTGAGCTTCATTCTTTATCTCTACTTTCTACTGATCAAGTAACCAAAAAGAAATTAAAAGGTAGATACAACAAAGATACCAAATTGTTAAAAATCATCTCATAAAGACATTCCTTCACCCAATGTTTCAAAAACTCGAGGAGCGCCAATTAACTCGACGACAATTCCAGGCTGTGCACCACGATATCATATTTGAGAAAGAACGGTCGAAAACGTGGAGCACAGTGGAGCAGGACCGACTAATTCAACAGCAGCCAGTCAGCCAGCCTTTCAGGACACCCTGTACCAGTCGCGGCTAAAATTAAATCTACAGTTTCAGTAACCTTCATTTGCCCATTCCCACCAGCGCCTCGTCCATCAACTCGTCATCGGTGATGCACGGCGAAGCGGAGTGAGGCGAGGGCGGGATGACCCTCGGCGAGGGTGCAGGACTTTTCACGATGTGCACACTCACGGAAGGACTCGCTGGAAAGGCAGGCGGTGGAGGTGGTGGCGTATTCCTGCGAACCGAAGCTGCCTGGGTCATGGCCCGCT